CTTCGCAGGCTCAGCTGTAGAGGCTGGGACTGTGTATTATGTGCAGGATGTAATTGCCTTTAACAAGAGAATTTCCACATTTACCACTCTGCCACAGCACAATCAAAGCCAAGCCCCACTCACAAGAGCTGCCATTTGAGTTCTAAATAGATTTCTCTCCTGAGCAGGTAAAGAGATTTAATTAAAATTAGGGCTTCTCAAAATAGCAATATTTATGAGGACGGCACAGGTTAGCTTTGTTCTACAGAAGGGCTTAATAGAGCCTTAATGGATTGACCTATCATTCGATTTCATGACTTACATTCATGAAGCAGCTACTCTTGGGGAGGGGAGGAAGAGAGGCTTTTATAGCCCACATTCCCTTAAGCGTTTGCAATTTATCAGCAGCTTCTCCCAAACAAAAGGAGCCGTGAATAGGAAGAACACTTGAGGGCATAGAAATAATCCCAGGCATATCTGTATGTGTGATGGGAGGCTTTGTCACAGGACAGTCTTTGCAACTGCTGCAGTGTCTCTAAATGAAGTGAGTCAATGTTATTTGGACAACATTCTTTATTCCTTGCAGGAATGAAAAGATTATTCAAATATTCAATTAAACAGTGAATAGGGTCTTTCAGAGAACCAGGTGAGTTCATCGGGTAGAACTAACTATTGTTGAGCCAACTCAGGGGATAGATTTGACATTTATCAATATAACTTCTTTTTTTTTAATGACATGCACAATAACCTTATGCAGATAAAGAGATTTCATAACAACAACCCGGGTAGAAGGAAGATGGCCACAATAGGAGCAAATGTGCCGCAGGAGTGAAAAGGGAAGGGTGATCTGATAAAGTGCATCCTGGCACGACCTGTGGTGTCTCGTGCTTGCGCCGTGCAGCCCGGCCATGGGCATGACCAGGTTATGGCTGGGGGCTGCGACCCTCCGGGGGCCCCCCAGCCTCCCCTGTCTGCACCTCTGCTACCTGAGCACATACCATGGGCTCCCAACTTTTCTGGGCTGGGGCAGTGCTGGGGGTCATGGCTCCCTGATGTAGCCCCGTGAGGCCTTGCAGTGTGGGGGACCATGGACACCCCCACCTGGCGATCAGGGTCCCATCCGCTCCCTCATGATCACCAACCCCACCCCAACACCACGCTTTGTCCTCCCGAAAGCTGCTCAGCCCTTTGGCTACAGCAGGGACACATCTGGGTCAAAGCCAGGTTTGGTTCCCCTCTTTTTAGTGGTGAAAGCCAGAAATAAACCCCAAACACAGGGCCAGTTTAACAGTGTGTTACAGAGATTAAAAACTGATGATTCCTTCACAGAGCACTCATAGTAACACATGGAGGGCAGACCCAGCTCAGGCTGTCCCAAAAGCCTGGAGAAACCTCAAACGCCACCAGTGTGGCTGTCCCTGCAGCCACCTCAGCTCTGCTGCGCTGCCATCGCGGCTGCCCTGGGCATCGCGGCTGCCATGGCCGTTGGCTGCCGGGCCCTGCCTGCACCGCAGTTCCACTGCCTGCTGCCAGCCCAGCAGGACACCGGAGGATTAGGGTTGCCAAGCTGGTGAGCCCAGTTGCCACATTGGAAAGCCCAGGTTTACCGGGGAATTAACTCAGCCGCTTCCTCGACCTTCAGGAATTAAAGGGGGCTGATGGTGGCGGTTCCCCATATAACACGTCTGGGCTTTGTGGCTTCCTGGGTGCAGAGGGCAGGGAGGCACTGGTCCACCTGCTGCTGGGGAGACTGGATATCCTGCTTAGCAATGAGGAGACCCAGGAGGCTGGGCAGTGATGGGGAGTCCATGGCAGGCAGGGACAGGGCCCAGGACCCCTCCTGCACCATGTTCTGGTGCACCAGGGGTGTTGATGTGGGAGCAGGGATTCTCCCAGTATGGACGGGACAGACACAGGGGTTTGGCACCGTTTCACCATCCAGTCCCCCCTCCCTTGCAGATGTGAAGTACCTGGAGAACTACACGCTGGCGAAGGACGCTCAGGAGAAGGCCAACGCGGCGCTGCTGGAGTACACTGTCTGCCACTACCCCCACTCCACGGACAAGTTTCGGCAGCTGCTTCTGCGGCTGGCGGAAGTCCGGGCGTTGAGCATGCAGGCAGAGGAGTACCTGTACCACAAGCATCTGAGTGGGGAGGTGCCCTGCAACAACCTCCTCATCGAGATGCTCCACGCCAAGCGGACGTGAGCGCAGCTGCCAGCACAGACCCAGCGCGGCCCTGGTGCTGCCCGCGGTGCGGCATGGGCAGGATGCGCGCCTGGGGCTGGTGGGATGATGCCTCTACACCCCGCCTCTCTCAGTGATTGATGCTGTTTAACCTGTGCTCTTGGAACAGTCCCAGATGGTTTATTTTAATACATGGTAAGGACAGACAATGGCTGCAGGGCCATGGACAGCGCTGGACCCTGGCTCCTCTGCACACCCTGTGCTCAACCAAACTCTGTGGCACGAAGGAAGGGTAGAGCCCGTCCCGACTCCTCTCCTATTTGTACCCTCTTTGCTGTCCCTGCCAGCTGTTTCCCCACCGCTGCCATCCCTCCTCCAACCCTGCCCCACGTCTCAGGACCCCTCATGTACAGGGCAGGGGGGAGGCGAGGTTAACCCCACCTGGGTTGGGGTTTCGCAGCGATCTGAGTGTCCCCAGATACTGTCGCAGGGGCCGATGATTTCCGCAGGAGCCAAGCAGAATGCCAGGACTGGAGGTGCCAGCCACATGCAGTCATGCCAGGACCCCAAGGTGCACGTACTGTGGTCCCCAATCCTCACTGCCCACAGCATCACTGCCTGCTCTGCGACTGGCTGCTGCCCCGGCCAAGTGAGGGTTTGCCCATGCTGAAGGCAGTGGCTGTGACTTTGCTGCTGGTGGCAGCCACAGAGCCAGGAGCCCATGGATGCCCATGGTCAGCATGGCCCTGGGATGTCAAAGCTTCACTGCAGAGGCTCTAAGAGACCCAGTACCAGAACATGGGACCATCCTCAGGACACTTTGGGCCCAGGACCCTGCTGCTGCGCCCTCAGGTACCAGCACAGTGTCCCCACGGCTGGACAGCTCTGCTGGTCATGGTGCCCAGGCGGCATTGGCATAATGAGCCAAGCTGGTTCCTAAAGCGCAAGGACAGGGTGGCCCCAGGATGGTGGCCCTGGGACAATGGTCCCAGGATGGTGACTCCAGGATGCTGTCCCTGGGACAGTGTCCCCAGGCAGTGCAGGTCCTGCCTTCATTCACCCATTGACCGTGTCCAGGCAGTGCCTGGGGAACAGCCAAGGGGCAGCACAAGGCTGGGGATGGACCATGTCCCCTTCCTGCCCTCAGGTGACGCCAGCCCCACAGCCAGGCAGAGTGGGGCAGTGCAAGGTCTGGGGGTCCCGGGACAGCAGGGCCAGGCTGCAAAGAGCTCAGAGCTGCTCCCACATGTGCCCAGGGGCCTGGGGGAGCTGGAGGGCTTTGCAGCCTTCTACTGCATTTACCTGCCCAAGTAAGTAGGCAAGGAGAAATGAGACTTGTCCTGTGCTGAGCCCACAGACTCCCCGTCACACTCTGCCACGTACCCCGGTGACAGCAAATGCTGTGCCAAAGCCACAAGTGAAGAGCGGCGGGTCACCAAGTGAAGAGCGGGGGGTTCCTCTCCCAGCACAGCACGGGGGTCACTGGGCAGCACTGGGGGGCTGCAGTGCTCGAAGCTGGGCCCTGAGGGGCTCTGGCTGCCACTTTCTGACCCCCGCCATGGCTCTGGGTAGAGCCGGTGCCTTGAGGAGCCACAGCCGTTGTGCCCAGCACTGCACGGGTTTTGGAAGCTTGTTAGCTGCAGAAGAGCGTGTTTGTCTCTGCTTTTCGACATGTCTGTGCATTTTCCTCCTGAAGTCTGTGGTTCGGTCTCACCTTCTTCTTTTTGTGAACTTAAAGAACTGGAGAAAAATGGTTTGGGAGGTAAAAGATGTTTTATTTTCAGAAAATGAGAAGTGTCCTTACGTGTCTCTCTCTCTCTCTCTCTCTCTGTCTCTCACCTCCTTTTCTCCCTCTCATCCCTCCCCTTCCCCACTCCCCACTCCCACCCTCCCTTCCCAGGCAGGAGGTTCCCAACTTCCTTGTCAGGAGCAAACCCCTGTAATAAATTTTGCAGTTCATTTAAGAAGGCAGACCTGGTCTTTTTTGCCTGTGTTTCTAATGCTCCTTGTTAGTGCCCTCCTTCCTCCTGGCTCCCACAGGCAGATGGGGCGCATAGAAGCTCACACAGGATCATTTGGTTGGAAAAGACCTTCAAGATCACCGAGTCTAACCATAACCTATCCACCACTAAACCTTGTCTCCAAAAGTTCAGCTGTGTAAAGCTGCGCACTCCGCCATACCTGAGCATGAG